TAGATGGCTCCTTATGAAGCTTTATATGGCAGGCGGTGTCGGTCTCCGGTTAGATGGTTTGAGCCGGGGGAGGCTCGGTTGTTGGGTACAGATCTGGTTCAGGATGCCTTGGACAAGGTCAAAATTATTCAAGATAGGCTTCATACAGCTCAGTCCAGGCAAAAGAGCTATGCCGACCGCAAGGTTCGAGATTTGGCTTTCATGGTCGGTGAGCGGGTATTGCTTCGAGTGTCGCCTATGAAGGGCGTGATGAGATTTAGGAAGAAGGGCAAGCTTAGACCTAGGTTCATTGGCCTTTTGAGATTTTTGATCGAGTAGGAGAGGTGGCTTATAGACTTGCATTGCCGCCGAGGTTATCAGCTGTGCATCCAGTGTTTCATGTGTCCATGCTTCGGAAATATCACGGTGATCCATCACACGTGTTAGATTTCAGCACTGTCCAGTTGGACAAGGACTTGTCTTATGAGGAGGAGCCGGTAGCTATTCTAGACCGGCAGGTTCATCAGTTGAGATCGAAGAGTTTTCCTTCTGTTCATGTTCAGTGGAGAGGTCAGCCTGCTGAGGCATCGACCTGGGAGTCCGAGTCTAATATGCGGATCCGTTATCCCCATTTTTTCCCCGACTCAGGTACTTTCTTCTTATGTCCGTTCGAGTACGAACGATTGTTTTAGAGGTGGAGAATGTGATGGCCCAAAAGGTTATCACTTGTTTTTAAAATGCATTCTGCGTTCCGAGGCCTTAAAATCCTCTTTCAGTATCACCTCGATTTGCGTACATAGTCCGGACACGTAGTCAGAAAGCAATTTTGTGAAAATCAATGAAAAGTGTTACAATTTTGACTTAAAATGCATTTAAGTTGACTTTGGTCAACATTTTAGGTAAACGGACCCGAACCCATGATTTAACAGTCTCGGAGGGTCCGTGGAAAAATATAGGACTTGGGCGAATGCCCGGAATTAAATTCTGATGTCCCAAGCCCGAGAAATGAATTTTTAAAGAAAATTGTTATCTGAAAATTTCTATGAGTTTTTGAAATGAAATGCATTTAGAAAATGATGGTATCGGGCCCGTATTCTGGTTCCGGAGCCTGGTACAGGTCTTATATGTGCAACAAGATAAATCTGTGAAATTTGGTAAGAGTCGGATGTCATTTGACGTGATTCGGACCTTAAATGCAAAATTTGATGTTTTAAGAAGTTTTGAAGTATTTCATTGATTTTGAGGTTTAATTCGTTGTTTAAGGGGTTATTTTGGCGATTTTATCACGCGGATAAGTTCATATGATGTTATTAAGTTAGTACGTATGTTTGGTTTGGTGCCCCGAGGGCTCGGGTGAGTTTCGGAAAGATTTGAACTCATAAAAGCTGCAGGTTTTTGGCTGTTCAGGTGCCAGATTTCTTCTTCGCAAACGCGAAGCCTGATACGCGAACGCGAGGCAGAGGGGGGAGCACCCTTTGCGAACGCGTCCAGGTACCTGCGAACGCGTAAGGTTAAAGGCCTGGGGGAAGTGTTCACATTTTGTTCTTCGCGAACGCGAAGGCTCGAGGGGTCAAAGCTCCGCGAACGCGAGCACAATGTCGCGAACGCGAAGGTCACTAAGGCCTAACTTATCGCGAACGCGACAGGCCTATCGCGAACGCGGTGAAGGCCTGTCCAGTGATTTTAAAATAGAAGCCAAAACGGGATTTAGCCAAAATTTCATAACTTCTTCTTCTCAACTCCAAATTGGGCGATTTTTGAAAGGGGATTTCACCACCAATTCATAGGTATGTAATCTTAGACTCATTTTCTTCAATTTCCATTAGCACCCATTAGATTTCTAGGCTTAAATCATGTTCTTAAGGGTAGAAAATTAGGGATTTGGGTAGAGTTAGGGCTTTTTGAATAATTGTGATTTAGACCTCATTTTGAGGTCGAATTTTGGAACTAATTGTATATTCGGGATCGTGGGTGAATGGGTGATCGGGTTTTGGTCCGAATCTTGTATTTTGACCAAGCGGGCCCGGGGCCAATTTTTGACTTTTTAGGAAGAATGATGGGAAAGCTATAATTAAACATTGGAATTGGATTGTTTAGCGTTTATTGATGTTATTAAGTCGATTGGTTTGGAACCGAATTCAAAAAAAAAAGCGGTGTTTGAGGCCTGAGTTGGCCGTGGATTAGGCGTTGTGTCCTATTTGCTACTTGCTTCTTTTTGAGTACGACGTATAGGCATAGTGACGAGTATCTATACGTTGGTGTCGAGCATTACCATGAGTCTTAAATTGTAATTTATTGTGTTCTTAAACACTACTACGGATGCTTAAGTTGATGATTCTCTGTATTGAGCAAGGATTATGAATATTCTCATTGAAAATTACTTATGACTGAGTATTGGTGTTAGCTGAGGTAGTTAGATGTTGGAACAAGTTTGGTTATAGCTGTTTCTCCCTTGCCGGGACGTAGTTACTTATACTGTCGATTCCCTTGTCGGGATAGTGTAGTTCTTTATTGATCCCTTGTCGGGGCTCTTGTTATGATTATTGTTGATGGTATATGTGGATCGGGATGCGCACCGCAACAATGATATATTTTGATCGGGTTGCACACCGCAACAATATTATATTTTGATCGGATTGCACGCCGCAAGAATATTATATGTGGATCGGGTTGCACATCGCAATAATGATATAATTGGATCGGGTTACGCGCCGCAACAATGATATAATTGGATCGGATTGCACATCACAATAGTGATAAATGGTATGGATCAGGTTGCACGTCGCAACAATTTTGTTATGTGTTAGGATCAGGTTGCGCGCCGCAACAAGTGATGATCTAAAGTTTTTATAGATTGGTTACATGTTCCTTATTGTTCTGTTGTAAATTCTAAGTTGTCCCTATGCCTTTTCTTGATTTGCTGTTGATATTGATACACCCCTGCAGCATGTACCCCCTCCCATCTTTACTTGTTTATTCCTATTTTATTTTCCGTTGTATATCATATAACTGCACACGTTTATTTGGTAGTCTGGCCCTAGCCTTGTTACTACTTCGCCGAGGTTAGGCTAGGCACTTACCAACACATGAGGTCGGTTGTGTTGATACTACACTCTGCACTATTTGCAGATCCCGGAGCAGCTTTTGGACAGTAGCATTTGGGGTGGCTGCCTTCAGTCCAGCTAGAGATCCCGAGGTAGTCCTGCAGGCGTCCGCAGGCCCGGCGTTCTCTTCTATCTTATTATGTACTTTGTTTTCATTTGATTCCGAGACAGACTGTATTTCTTTCAGATCTTTGTCGTAGTAATCATAGACAGTCCGTGATATTGTGACATCGGATTCCGGGTAGAGACGTATGTTGGAAAAGTAGTACTGGCTTTGGTTATTTTATCAATTTAAGTCTTCCGCTTGTTTTATTTATCATTAATATTCAATGTTGATTACCTGTTAATCCCAGTTGTTAAAAAGGGATAAAATGAAAGGGTTAGTGGTTCTTCATTTGCGCGGTTTGCCTAGCTTCTACGAGTAGGCGCCATTAAGGGTGTACAAAGAAAACCGACAAACCGTACCAATCCGATAATCCAAGTCAAACCGAGAAAAAAAACCCGAGTGGTTTGGCTTGATTTGGTTTGGTGTTGGAAAAAAAAAACCCGACCATAATTGGTTTGGTTTGGTTTTAACCAAAGAAAGTCAAACC